TTAATACACATAAATTTATGTTGCTTTACGAGATAAAATATAATTGTATTTAATATTTTTTAATTTACTTTGATAAAGAATTTTAGATTTTCTCTATAAGGCTATATATCATTGTTTTGTATTTATGTATATAATATGGATGTCAAATCGAATATCGTTAAAAGATAAATAATTTAATATATTATATATGATAAATAAAATACAAATCATAAAAATTATAAAATTTTAAAAATAAGAAGAATAAACATTTATAATAATTGATGTATGAGTTAAATAAGAAAATGAAATGTAATATATGGTAATGTAGAAAAAGAAAACCTAAAATAGTTTATGGTACCTAATTTTGAAGAAAAAGAAGGAAAAGATTAATGAGGATTTATTGTAATAAATATAAACATTAAATAAAATTCAAACCTACTGCTTTTTGTACAAAAAATATTAATATGATTCAAGCTTAACTCCGAAGCATGAATTTGTCACATAAGATTCCAACACGTGAGAGCATGCCACTTAGGCTCACCGCATTCTTTAATTATATATAGAGAGGATATCATAAAAGGTAATGAAATGAGCTATTTATCAAATAAGTTGGTTAATGGATTTGACGGGTTAAGGCTCAGCCCGCTAACACCAATCCCATGTGGGCTCTCCTTTATGCTGTATATTTTGTTTGAGGGCTGACGTTTAGGCCCGTTTACGTTTGGGCCAGATATTTTGGGCTGCGTGTAGTCTTTTGAATACAGTGAGCGATATGCATTCAATTAAGCAAACTTTCATGTGAAGAAGACAATTTCATTTCAATTAATTCCTTTCTCAATTATTCTACTCGTATATTCATCACTCATCAATAATATGGTCCAAACAAACCAGATTTCTTATCAGAAACAAATTAATATGACAACATACAAATCAATTATTGTTCTCAAAATAAATTATTTTAGTTCCATAATTTCTTAATACCATAATTGGATCCCGGAGTTTTTTATTTTTTTATTTTATTTTTTTGGTACGAAAAGGAGGCTACACAAAGCCTAGACTAGAACCAACCGACAATAAACTCAAACTCGATCGTGATGCAACCATATGCTTGCTCCTGTCGGGAGCAGGTCCAACCTATGAAGACCTCCCGGGCCTTTAGCCGCTAACGATGCCAGATAGTGTGCCACAAAATTTGATAAGCGATATCCATGAGCAATAGACACCTCCCATCGACGACCCAAAAGATCCCGGAATTTGATGGTGAATTTATGCAATTTGGTCCTAAAATATACTCCCTCCTATTTTTTTAAATGTCATTATACCTTTATCAACTATTAACAAAATAAATGTCGTTTTGAATCTTTTGCACATATTTTTCCATTATTACACTCATTTAGCTAATAAATACATTACGTATTTTCATATTTACTCTTCATTTTTTCTCAAAACATTCATCTCTATCTTCATTAAATAAGGTTATTATTGACAAAAAAATTATTCTTAATTAATGTGTAACTTCTCAAAATGACATATATTAAAAATATGAGGTAGTATTTTTTTTTCTTTGCTTAAAATAATGAGTCCCATGCTTCTTATATGCAGCTACGTAATCGGGCTATAAAATGTCGCGCCGCACCAAAAAGTCGGGCCCCTATATGCGCCCTACCGCTTTTTCTCCGGCCGAGCCACGTATAAGCCGCGCCCTATGCACGGGCTCTCGTCAGAGCCATCAAAAAGTCGCACCCCTGTAGAAAGGTCACGCCCTACCACCATCTTTCCGGCCGAGCCACGTAGAAACCGCGCCCTACCGACAATTGCTCCTCCTACTTCCCAAAAAATCGCGCCCCATTACCAATTCTTCGGCCGAGCCACGTAGAAACCGCGCCCTGCCGACAATTGCTCCTCCTACTTCCCAAAAAATCGCGCCCCATCACCAATTCTTCGGCCGAGCCACGTAGAAACCGCGCCCTGCTGACAATTGCTCCTCCTACTTCCCAAAAAATCGCGCCCCATCACCAATTCTTCGGCCGAGCCACGTAGAAACCGCGCCCTGCCGACAATTGCTCCTCCTACTTCCCAAAAAATCGCGCTCCATCACTGCTTTCCCGGCTAGAAAATCGCGCCCTACCACGGTTTTTTGTCCGGGCCATCCAAAAGTTGCGCCACAAGAAATAATTGGGCCCCCAAATGTGTTGTCTCGTACGGGCTGTCAGATAGCCGCGCACCAAAACACGTCATCGTCGTTGGGCCACTAAAATGCCGCGCCCCAAAACACGAACTCTCACTTGGGACGTTAAAATGTCGCACCCCAAAACGCGTCCTCTCACCTGGGATGCTAAGCAGCCGAGACCTATACGTGATTTTTCATCCGGGTTGCTAAAATGTCGAGCCCTACACATGACTTCTCATCCGGGCTGCTAAAATGCCGAGCCCTACACATGATTTCTCATCCGGGCTGCTAAAATACCGAGCCCTACACACTACTTCTCCTCCAGGCTATGAAAATGTCGAGCCCTAAATGCAGTTGCTTACAAAATGTCAAGCCCTAAACGTGGCTCCTCAATCGGGCTGCGAAAATGACGAGCCCAAAATGCGATTGTGTACAAAATGACGAGCCCTAAACGTGGCTCCTCAATCGGGCTGCAAAAATGGCGCGCCCCCGAGAAGCGTCTCCTCCTTTGGGCCATTAAAATGCCGAGCCCCCGAGAAGCGCCCTCTCATCCGGGCTGCTAAAAAATCGCGCCCTACCACCGCTTGTTCGGCCGAACAGCTAAGAGGTCGCGCCCCACCAACGATTTTTCGTCCAAGCGGCTAAAAAGTCACGCCTTGCCAACGATTTCGCGTCCAGGCAGTTAAAAAGACGCGCCCTACCACCACTTCCTCGGCCGAGCAGCTAAAAAGCCGCGCCCTACCTCACAAGGGCCTAGTTTTTAAGCTATGTCAGACTTTTTTAACGACACTTGAGCTTACAAGAGTCCGGCCTTAAGTCGTCGCACTCTTGGATAGCGCTCGAGCTCATAAGTGCCCGGCCTTAAACCGTCACGTCACATTCCTGGATAACACCCGAGCTTGTAAGGGCCTGACCTTAAGCCATCACACTGCTGGAACAGCCTCTAAGCTCGCACGAGCTCGGCCTTAAGTTGTCACATCCTTGGATAGCACCCAAGCTTGTAAGGGCCCGGTCTTAAGCCATCACATTCTTGGAACAGCCCCCGAGCTCGGACGAGCTCGGCCTTAAGCCGTCATATCCTGGGATAGCACCCGAGCTTGTAAGGGCCCGGTCTTAAGCCATCATATTCCTGGATAGCACCCGAGCTTGTAAGGGCCCGACCTTAAGCCATCACATTCTTGGAACAGCCCCCGAGCTCGGACGAGCTCGGCCTTAAGCCGTCATATCCTTGGAT